AGTGCGGTAGTTTCTGTTTGATTATGCCGTCTCTTTTACTTTTCCCACCTTATATGCACAGCTTAGCGGCTGAAATAGTAACTCAGCCGATCACCTAGACTGATAAAACCTCCTTTTATTATATAACAATGACTTCTAATATCTAATCATAGTACCTATAAGAAGTTACTCGTACGTTTTTTATGCCTAGCAATGACGGTTCAGTGACAGATAGAAGAATTGTCTAGATGTTAGATGGCCTTGCTAAAATTCTAGGATGAGCACTTAATTTTTTCACACATACGCTTTCTTAATTTTTTTGTGTACGTTACGGTTTCGGCTTCATCAGTCATCGATTTCTAGGAGCAAGACCCACCCTGGAAAATGACTATTGATGCGTCAATGTATATTATCGAAAGTTAAAGGCTCACAGTAAACTTCATAGTACGCCAACAACCAGAATTCGATTCTCTTTCAATTCTGAGACTACATCAATTAAATAGGCTTGTCACTTTATTAAATTATGTTAGTTGTCTTAGTTTTTTTTTTTTAATTTTTAACCATGCATTTGCATTATCTAATTGCATTTGTCGGATCTAAACGCGAAACGGAGAATTAGTTCATACTACTGAGGTCGCATTTAGTAACTGATTAAATCCTTTACTTTTTTGAAACTATCATTATGCAAATACGACCTTCAACACCAAAAATCCGCTTTCACCATCAATTAACCGTTCAATCGTCATCAATGGCCCTCGGCTAAATTACAGGTTATTTCAGTTTTTTATAAATATCTTAATTTAAAATTGTTTGGTTCCTAAATTATGTTTAGAATAGAATGTTAATTTTAATAAAATATTAATATTTAATTTCTTTGTTCAATTCTTTGACGTATTTTTATTATTTATTTACAACAACTACATATTCCTTTTATTACGAAAGTATCCTTCATATTAAAATTGGTGAAATTACTTCTGTTTTGTTTAAAATATTAGGCGGTCAAAATCAGTATAGTATAGTATCATCAGTAATCAGTATAGTAGTCTTGGCCATAAAAACTGAATTGAAACAAAGGCTTTAAATAACAGAACTCTCTGTCACAAGACTTCACCAATACTCTCGTAAATCACTTTAATTTATAAAAACAGCAAATAAGCGAGGTCTCTCCCTTAACTGATCATAAATTTGGTTTTCGTTTTAATTAATCATATAATAAAATCTTACAAAAATATGAATTTAATTTCGTAAAACAGCTTCTGGTAATTGATTACTAAAACTCAAATTATGAGTCATTATTAATAGTCACATTAATTAAAAATGTAATATAACAAGTTGCACTTGATCAACTCCTTTCTCCTTATCCAATAATCGATATAGCAGATTGTCGAAAATGGTATCGCCGGCATAGGAGTGCGTTTATTCTCATACAAAAGCAAACTTTACCATATACGGTACTGTAAAGTGGGCTGCTTAAATCAGGAACGAGATAAATAGTAAACTTGCAATCTCACATTTTATCCGCATGTCTCATTAATTTAACCTTATCAAAATATACGGTTCTTAAATATGCATTTTAACTGTATATTTTTAGAGACATGTAGACCTACAAGCCAAAATTATAAATTAAGAAATTGAGACTACCACTAGTTTCTACTTATCCACTACTTATAGACTAGTCTTAATTATTGTGTTTTAAAATATTTTGTCTTATTAGCGACATTAGGCAGTGCTGGACATTTTTTATTAAACTAAATTGACGTACTTGCAGTCCACCTGAATGTAAGTGGCTATGGCAACCCATGGACACCGGCAGCCATCTTCAAACAAAGAAGATTGAAATGCCTCAAAGACTGCAATTATACTGGCTCTCTGTACTCTGTAGTACTCTGTGTGCGTGCACCGCTGTGTGCCGGTAAGTAATACGTGGTAGAGCCACGCTGCAGTTATAATAGTAGTATAGTTGTAGCACGAATGGGTCGGCTCGACCGGGGAAGGACCACGCTCTCACAGAATACCAGCGTGAAATGGCAGCTTAATGCTGCTGTATTTCGTATGGTGAGTGTAGAGAACCGGAGACCCTTTTTACTGGAAACGAGGCATTCCATCTTAGTCCTCACGGGTGACATTGCATTTTGATTTGTAATCGAGGATAGATGTAGATGTCTATGGGTCGCAGCAACCACTTACCATCAGGTGGACTGCGTGCTCGTTTGTCACCCTATCCTATAAAAAAAAGTAATAGCAATTGTGCGACAGAAATAGGTAACAAGATAGCAACCCAAAAGGACTCCCAAGGGCCATTCACAGTTTGTTCTCGGTCCGAGGTCAGTCTGATAAAATATTATCAAGTAAAAAATATATGTGTGCATTCATAAATATATATGTGCAGTCAAGTTTCGCTCGATTCCCATTCCAGTAATATAATAAATCAGAACGAGATCTTACCGAGAACAAACTGTAAACGGCAAATGAGGATCGGCCCTAATTCCAAAATCTGCACTGCACTAATTTTTATAACAGCCTAACAAAGATCCCCTGCTGAACACATTTAGCATAATGCCGCAATCTCTCTGACGAAAGTTTACATTTGAGAATAAGTTAGCATATTTCCCCCCATATATATCAGTGTACCCGTTAGCCAATATTCATTAACAAATACGATTAAAAATTGACTATAAAAAAGAGGTCGGGTTATAGAAACGGGCTAATAATACTATTTCAACTTTATTTATTATTATTTTTTATTTTTGGAGCATTGAATAATTCCTAATCCATCTAGATAGCGAGGCGATTACAACAGTGGTGACATTTTAACGGAAATAATGAATAAATAAATTTCTTGAATTGCCTCAATATATTATAAATATCTTCTAAAATATAATGTCTTCTAAGATTTAATAATTTAACACAAAAACAGCCGAGTACTTCTTGCGTATAAAAATTAGGGTTACGATCACTTACAAGAGCCAATCTTTTATTAGTCAGCATATGAGTTATTATTCGATTCTTGCTTTGATCGTATTGAAAACATACAGTGCAGAACTTTATAATAAAATATTATAGAACGTATCAAAATAGATAATACAGATTACTTAACGTAAAATGGTTATCATGAATTGATTTATTAAAAAAAAACGACTACAATTATTGTCATCTCAATATGGCACCACTGTGAAAGTATACCTGCCTACCTTCTCCATTGGTAAATAAAAGTAAAAATAAATTGGTTATCTAACCTCAGAGATATATCGTACTACATGAATTAAAAAGGAATATACCTCTTACCTTCTCTCTTTTTTTTAAGTCGATCAAAAACAAGCAGTCGCTTCACTCCCACAACATTAAGAATGCAATTTTAATATTATATATTTTATACTGATAAACACCACTTAAGTTAGATTATAAGTAAGACGTTAATTTATTTTTCGTCGCTTATAACCCAGTTACGCTGCTCTCAACTCTCGTTTGATTAATACCTAAAGAGATAATAGCGCCGAAAACACGGGCCATGTCTCACAAGCACTTGTCTAATTCATGTCTATTCTATAAGTTTTGGTAAGATAATGTCCGTAATTAGGGGGTGAAAGCGAGCCGAGTCGTTTTTATTTAAGTTCCGTGAGCCATTTGGTTCGCACGAGCTCTAAAATGGCGATCAGTCTAATTTTGACAAAAAGCGTGAAGCAATTCGTGAACAATGTTTTAGGGTAAAGCCGTGAAATTGTTTTCGACGGCGACGTTTATCTGATTGACAATTTTTTTAATTTATTTTATATGAGGTACTAGTTCAAAAAAAATGCGTCTTTTTGTATTGCGATTGATAAAGATCAACAGAGAATTATCTTCTATATTGGACAAGTAAAATACAGTTTCTAATTTCCAATCTATTGATTTTAATTAAAAAAAAATATATATTTTATAAATAGACGACAAATGAGACTAAGTAAAAAGGGTTATTTATTGTGTAAACAAATAACCAATTTATATGAATTGGTAACAAACTGGCGTCGTTATCATTTCCGTTAGCAATGTCGTCCTTTACACCAATAGTGTAATGATAATAGCCGCGTTGGCAAATCAAAGATTTGGCACCGGTTCAGAAAGCGACGGACAAAAGTTTTTAAAAGAAACAAATTCCGCTCGGAGTAGGTTTTCCAAGACACCCAAGCAAAACTCAAGATGCTACATTTAAAGGACAATCAAAGAGTCACTGTTGTGATAAAACATAATGTGAAAGTTTGGTTTATTTCGTTTTTATAAAAATCAATTACTTTATTGCAATTTAGAACTTATTTTATTCTAATGCAAGACTGTAGTTATTTATTTTGTTATATCGCTCATAGCAAAGACCGAATCTTGGCTTCGAGTACTATCAGTTCGTCATTCTCGAGCATGCACTTTTACAACTATTTTAATCTGTTGCTTCAAACTTGTTCTACTCGTCAACGATTGCGCTATCATCAGTACTGATGACCAATTCCGTTATCACCATATTTTTATACGAATTTTCTTATTTTTTATCAATCATCAAATATGGCTACCCTATCGAGGAGAGCCCGTCTTGGCTTTGGATTCGAAACTCGTGAAAAACGCACTCGAAGATTGATGGTATCTGTTCACGTGCCTAAGCGGTGCAGTGGTGATTGTTTAGTTGCTGCGAAAATAGAAACGATATTTGTAAACACAAATGTTAAAAACTACTGAATTGAGGATACCTACTCTTATTAAGATTACTAAGGGTCGGTGAACAAGCCTTAGGAACAAATACTCCGTACTTATAAACTTTTGGTGCGATCAACTCAACTATGTGACCTAGATTCTTAAGAAGTCGAAAGCTTTCAGAACTAAATTACAAATACCAACATAACATCGAATTTTATAATTTTGTATTGATATTCTAAACTCGTAATCTCCTGTCACACCGGACAGATGTTATGTAGTAAACATGTTCAAGGATATGACATTAGTTATAATAAGGTAAAGCTATTTTGTGAAGTGAGTCACGAATGCCGTTTTGCCCACAGAGCCCTGGCGCGACGAGCGGAGCGGGCGCGGGCGCGGAGAGCGGGTCGCGCGACGCGCTGGACGTCCGCTACTCGCTAGCCGCGCTCGCCGATGATTACACCAAGCGGAAGCATGTCGTGCGCGTCACCACAGCCGCTGGTGCAGAGCTACTACTACAGGTCCGTTAGCTTTTTTGTTTTAATAAATATTAGTTCTAAACTCTAGGGTAACAGAAGAGCGGAAAATTCGTTATTTTAAAACAAAAGAATAAGATTACAGAATGTTAATCCACTCCTTCTCTATTGATCTTATTTTTAAGACAAACAAAAAATTTAAAAGCTCTATAGAAAAAAGCACGATTCAATGGAGCAACGTGGCGTTTAAATTTTTCATCAATATACTATGAAATAACTTGGAATACCTATATACATTTTTTAAAATTTTCTATTTCTATTTCTATTTCTATTTCTACCTATATAAATTTATATATACATATGTATAAAATATATATACATATGTATAAAATTATTATTAATAATAATTCTTTATTTAAATCACAAGGTATTTTAACATAAATAAGTGGCTAGAGCCTCCCTTTAAGCACAGAGCGCCTGTAGTAGGAGGCTCCGCTCTTCCACAACTTCACAAACAAAATCTTATGAAATACTTTTAGACAACTAATATAAAAACGTGCATGCTGTGTGGTGTGTGTGTGTGTGTGTGTGTGTGTGTGTGTGTGTGTGTGTGTGTGTGTGTGCGTGTGTGTGTGTGTGTGTGTGTGTATGTGTGTGCGTGCGTGAGTGCAAGCGTGCGTGCGTGTGTGTGTGCGTGCTGTACTTATTTGAGTATTCATATGAGCGACTTTTCAAGAAGAGACTCAATTTCCTCATAATCAAGTGGTTGTAGATACTTTTTTTACTGCATTTTTACATTCGTAATGGGTCATTGTGTAAATTCCTACATGTTTATTAATTTTGTTGTATAATTCTGCTGCGCGTTTACTATACTGAACTCTAGCAAAAAACGTGTGAGTATTGGGAACTTGTGCTACTAATTCTTTTCTCCTCTTTTGTAAAATATTTGGATTAAAAGATAGGGACTTATGTTTCTTTAATATTGTGTGCAGTACATAAATTTTTCGTACTGATAATAACTGTGTTTCATTGTAAAGACTTGTAGTAGGATATCTTCTGTTTTTAAAATACATATTTTTAATTAAACCACGTTGCGCACGTTCCAAGTGGATAAATTTTGTTTTGCAAGCACCCCCCCATATAGATATACAGTACCCCAAAACGGATTGTACCAAAGCTGTGTATATATCGTTTAATAATTTGTTTTGCATAAGTTCAGTGGACGCTTTTCTTGGCACCACATGTCTTAAGGTACGAAATATCCAATTTAATTTAGCAATTCTGTTAGATACATGTTCTATGTGAGAATACCATGACAATTTCTGGTCTATTATTACACCTAAATATTGTGTATATGTTACTTTATTTATAAATGGACAGTTATTATTAAAGGCGCAGTTATTTATGTTGTTACACGTATGAATCCTTATATTGAAATCTTCCGAGGGTTGCGTGCGTTTAGATATACTGAAACAGATATAATTAGTTTTTGCTGCATTAAGGGTCAGTAAATTCAAATTTAACCATTTTGCCACCTGGGTCATCCCAAATTTTGCCCTTTCCTTAACTTCTTGCCACGATTTACCTTTAAAGATAACTGCTGTATCATCAGCATACGAAATTATTTGTGCGTTTTCTATTTTTAAGTTGCACAAATCGTTTATGTAAAGCAGAAACAAGGAAGGCCCCAATATACTGCCCTGTGGCACACCATATGATATAGTTGCGTCGTCACTAATAAACTGGTCAACTTTTACACATTGATTTCTATTGGAGAGGTAGTCTCTAAAAAGTTTAAGGGCAGTACCTCTTACTCCGACTTTTTCCAGTTTATATAAGAGTAGGGGGATAGAAACCGTGTCAAACGCTTTCATGAGATCTAAGTACACAGTTAAGCATTTTTGACCTTTATCTAAGTCATCAACCACCAATGATGTCATACGAGCAACTGCATCCTCACTAGATTTGCCATGCCTAAAACCAAACTGATAAGGAGATAATATATTAAAAGAATTTAAATAATTAAGAAGTCGAATATTAATTAATTTTTCAAGTATTTTTGATATAGCTGGTAATATTGATATGGGCCTATAATTACTGATGTTGCCTCTGTCCCCTCCCCTTAAATATTGGTACAATAGAAGATTTTTTTAGTTTCTCCGGGAAAACGCCTTTTTCAAAACATAGGTTAGTGAGGTGGGTGAAAATTGGTATCAGTTCGTTCTTGGCATACTTTAAAAATCTAGTGGAGATCCCGTCCCAACCAGGGGCACTATCAGTCTTTAAACTCATTAATATGCTCTCCACCTCACCTGTGTCCGTATTTAATAGTACAAAGGAATTAGACTGTGTAGGCAAGTTATGATGTTGTATGTTATGGCCGCTTGAATTTAGTTGTTGTGCTAATTTTTTACCAATATTGACAAAGTATTCATTAATATAGTTGATTGATTGCAATGGTGATGATTTTATATTTAATAACTCTGTATTTTGATCCTTAGATTTATTGCAGTATGTTATGTTTTTAATATTCTTCCAAAGTAATTTATTATTTGAAACCGATTTTGCAAGTAATTCTCGTTCATATTTACGCTTTAGATGTTTTAAAAGATTATTACAGTAATTCCTATACCTTTTATACGTTATCTTAAGTATTTCATCGTGTGGGTCTTTTCTTGCTTGTTTTTGTAAATTATTTCGATTTTTAATGCAACGTAAAATACCAGTTGTTATCCAAGGTTTTATGACCCGTTTGTTGCTAGGAATAACTCTAATTTCAGTACACGTTTTCAATGAATCAGTTATTCGTTGTATAAGTTGACTTATTAATAAATTTGGATCCTCACAAAACAGTAATTCTTGCAAATTTTGGTCACGTAGATGCTTAAGAGCTTTTTCAAAATCTATAGAATTCTTTGTTTTATTTATTCTTATATTGCTCTTTAACTTAGATAATGATAAAAATGTAGTAAAATGATCTGTGATAGATGTTTGTATAATTGCTATAAAAGCTGATACTTTCTTACTATTAATTTTTAACATAAAATGATCCAAACAATTTTTTTCTCTGGTGGGTAAACAATGTCCAGGAAGTATACCATGTGTTGAAAGCATATTTAGGTAGTTTGCCCTATTTTTAAACTCATTAGGAAGTTCTACAGATTTTGTTTTTATATTAATATTAATATCTCCTGCAATTATAACGTTATTCTGGGTATTTAATGTACTTAAGTGGGTATCAAGTGAATCAATAAAAATATCAGTGTTAGTGTTAGATGGAGAACGATATATACATAATATGGTATTATTGAGTAGATCTAGCTGTAGACAAGAAGCCTGTGATATTTGTATTTCCTTAACTTTAGGTTGTAACGTATTTTTGACATAAACCACTACTCCATCATTTTGATTCACCTGATATTTTGTAGCATAAGAGCAATAGTTATTAAGTTGGGGAATAGGTTTATTTACATTTAATCGACATTCAGTTAAAATTATTATATCTGTGTCAAATGTTAGGCTAGAATATGTAATTAAAAAATCATCAAAGTTATGGTAAATACTTCTAATATTCTGGGAAATAATGGTAAGATCGTTTTTGTTAATATAAATATGTTTTGTTAAGTCAGAAGCACTACTACACTCGATAGACCGCGCTATGTCTATACTATCTATTTCTTGTAAAGTTTGTAAGGTCTTATTATCCATTTTGTGTGTAGGCAGGTATTGACGTCATTTTCAATTTAATATGAGAGCTACAGGCTCTTGTATACTCATCATAGTAATTTATCATAGTTACAGTACCAAAATGATATTGAGTATTTCTTATTATTAACCATAAATTTAATATATTATTTATTATATACTGTAATGTAACATAGTGTAAATAGTACTGTATGATGCTCTTATGTATGGCACTTGTGTGATTGTGTATTGAGTGTGAATTAATACGTAGTGTGTATGTAATAGGCGTGTAAATATAGTAATATGTAGGGTGTTGGTAGTTATAAGGTGCTGTAAATCTCAATCTGGAGTATACAAAGTTAAAATTTATTTTAAACTGATATGTTAACTTACTCGTATATCTATATATCTTGAAGATTAGTATGAGGATTGAGTGTGATGTGTAAACAGATGTATGAGTGTATGTGATAGCACGTGTAATACATGAATAATAAATTAATTTAACATTTTTAGCAAAGCAATTTGAAATTTGAAGCATAAGGTAAAACAATGTAGTTTTATAGTAACTAAAAAGCTTAAAAGATAATATTATTGAGAAATAAACATCTAAGGAAAATATCCAGTAGAGAAATAGCGAAAAATTATTCTTATGTAATATATAAAAAAATAGTACTACTACACCGGATAGTCATTTTTCGAATTGCAGCTTTCGAATCTGCTCTTCACTTTTAATTATAACAATAGGAGAGTTTTCATCTTTTCTTATATAGACTTTCCCGTATGCAGTCCAGCAGAACTTATAAGAGTGGGTTTTTGCCAGGTCCCTTGCCAGAAAGTGCAGTCTAGACCCTTTTACAGTCAGGTGCTCCGATAAAAAGACGGGGATGTCGGCTTCCGTTTTAATACCTAAGTGTTGACTACATATTTTAGATCTATGTTTTTTGTTAAAGGCTTTACCTTTTTTGAGAATCTCAGTTTTTATTAGTACGGAGCTGTTTTCCACCACAATCGGAGTATTTTTCTCCTCAGATTTCTTACCACGAACCCTGTAAATGTCTAAGATGTCAGTCTTAGTTATTGGGCAGTCTAAGTTTTGGGATAAGCATAATACCATCTCAATAAGGTCTTCTTTACTTTCATTACTTTTCTTTGGCACATTTTTTATTTGAAGATTATTCTTGCGGCAACCCATTTGTAAATCCTCAATTTTATTTTCTAAAATTGTTATATATTTTTTATCTTCACTTACTTTGCTCTCAAGTTGATTAATCCTTGTTTTAAATTCTTCGTTTTGTGCCGTTAAATATGATATCGAATTTTCAATGTTGACATTGGATCGCTGTATATCTTTTAAACTTGTTGTAACTAGTTCCAAATCCTTTTCGTGTTTAAAGGAGAAGGAAGTTATCATTTCCTTCATTTCTTTCCTAAATTCATTTAACTGCATAATAATTAGATCCTGCGTGTCATCTTTAGTGTTTTTTTTGCGTTGTGATACGTAGGTCGATGGCGGCGACTCCGCATCGGTGAATGATTTGTCTGTTGATGAGTCCATAAGTACTAGGCAATCAGTGTTGTAATGCGGTAGCGTACACGCAGCGTAACGCAACAGGTGACAACAGGTGTCGCGCAAACGAGACGTCCGAGCAAGCAAAATGGCACGCTTGCTAATTAGGCGTAGTTGGATACTGCGCGTGTGCTGATTTGTTCACGTAAAAACAGTGTTGTGGTAATACCAGGGCAGCAACGCACACCTACGTGGGGAGTCCGTAAGTACGTCCTGCACTCCTCGTATATTTTTCTATAACGACGCTCGGCAATAGAAGTACCAGGCGATCAGGAAAGTAACGGATATTACACTTTTTTTTTTTTTTTTCACTGAACTTCTTCTGTCTATGCACCCCTATTTTTATGTCGTGTATTTTTATCACTTTGAGCACTCAATTAATTTTAATTTTTAATTTAAAGAAATATGTGTACACGTCTGATAGCTTTTGCGTCCAGATGGGGAGAGGATTTTAAATATTATTATTATTATTATTATTTCCTGTTTTTGCAACAATCGTTTGTGAGCTATAGAAGCGCTTACTCCGTACGGGATTCGAACCAACGGCCCCTGCAGAGCCACGACCAAACGCTTAGCCACTGCGCTACGGAGGCGCAAATGGAATTATCATAAGACAGTAAAACAATGAACCTAGAATGTCTTGCCAGTTCTTCTCTATAGAGGTCTTGTTTTTGAAACCACTTGACACTTCTTCTTCTAATTATTTAATTAAACATCATAAACTCACTTTATAACAATTCTAAACAGGCCGAAGGCGCAGCCGATGCTCAGCGTTGGCTAGAAGCACTACGACGGCATTCGGCGGAACCTCCGCCAGCTGAAACAGCACCCGCCGCTCTCAGTACCTCGCCCACCACCAACAACACTACCACTCTCGCGCCCGCTCCTGCTCCCGCATCCGCTCCTGCGGCGAACACTACGTCCTCGCAACCGGAGTGTCCATCTCCTTTACCACCACAACGCAGCAAGAAAATCACCAGGAATAGATCGCCTACCGGTATGTGTTAGTGAAAACGCTGATATCCATCTAACAATTTTTTTTTATACTTGAGATCTGTGGATTTTACGATTAATGTTATACATAGGACTGCAAACAATTAATTAGATTTTAAATTTAAATCAAGTTACGTCGATTTAATCTACTTTATATAATTAATTGACTAATATTCAGGATGATTTTTGTATCATTATTCATAATTGTGTTGTATAAAACTATGATCCTTGAACGCAAATATGTTTTATTTGAGTTCGCTGATCAAGGATTCGCTTTTTCAACTACATTTTTATTAATTTTATAAGTACATAATTTAAGTGTTCAGAAAATTTGATCATAAAAAGAAGAGATGATTGTGTTTCCCGTCAAACAATTTACCTTAAATCCATAGTTTACTCTTTAATTAAATGTCCTTTGATAGTATCTGTTTATAAAATTTCCGCATATATTATGTCACTATAATCACAGCTATAATCGCTCATGTTATATAAATTTTTTAAAGAATATAAGTAACGATAATAGTCCAATATCAAATTCGACACCACGTCAATCGAGTGTTCGGTCCGCACCCAGCTACTGTAATTTAGTTTTCAACACGAGTACGAGTATGCAACAGTGTCAGCAAACGTTTCGTACACGATCAGGTCCACCGACACCGACGCTGCCGTCCTCACCCAAAAACAAGACGTGGAAGGGTCGCATGGCGAAACAACTGCGGCGCATGCAGGGCGGGACCGGGGCCGCGCCGGGTTCAAACCCCGCGGTCACGGGCTGGCTGGGGGCGCCGCTCGAGCGCTGTCCCACCGACCCCGACCACCCCGGGGTACCGCTCGCTGTCACCCTACCAGCTACCGCTGTAGAGGTCAGTACTACGTCAGTAATTTAAGTCACCTATCAAACCGTCGACTGTACTAATGTGCCCGCGGTGCAATAAAGTGGAGAAACAGGACGCTGTCTGTTGCGCTTTCTGTCGAACTTATGGGCCTTACGGCAGGCCTGCCGTATTTGTTATGTGTATAATTATGCAGTTTTGAACTTAGTTTTCATTCATAACGTTAGTTATACTAACGTTAGTGATACTAAAATTTTGTTTAATGTTGAAATCAATGACTTATGATGTGATAGACGCTGATTAAACTCGTTCATCTGCTTTCAAACAAACTTCTGATGAGTTATATTAGTAACTGACCTTATGGAAATCTTAAATTTTTGTAAACATGTTTTCGTTTTTTCTTAAGAAAAAGAGCAAGTCCCGTGCAGGAATCGAACTATTGATCAACAATGCCAAAAGAGACGCAAAGTCACTACGCTGTTGGGTCTATGTTTACATATAATATCTATATATACTTAGTAATACGTTATTTTTGTAATAAACTTCAATTACATGCCTAGCATTCTAAGTACAAGCGAGTTCTTCTTCAGTCTGTTAAATATTCATATATGTACAAAGTACATAAATCACTAAAATTTAGTTTATTAAAAGTAAATCGTAATCAACTCCATGGTGTATACGTCACGTTGCAAAAAATACGCATTAACAAATTAATGTGATCTTTCTGGCATTTTTCGTAGTTATTTTAAATTATACGTCGTAAATGACGTAATTTACATTCAAGCAGTGGATTTAAATGAGTTTATAAAGGGTGTCATTATATCAATCAATAATTTATACGTAGTTGTTATATTCCTGATCATGAACGCGTTGTGGCGGTGTAAGATCATCCACTAACCCACATTATCCCGTGTGTGTCGTAAGAGCGACGAGCAGCGTCTTGGTAATAACTATCAAAAAATAAAATAAAACCCTCGCTAATTAACCCGCCTGTCAAGAGTGGCAGTTATTTCAAATATCACCGTTATGAGGCAATCATAGAGAAGGCCGCTTATGGTTTAGCAGGGGACTTTTGATAGGCTGTAACTGTGGATCTATATGAATGTAACGGCAACGCGCGTGGCCCGCAGGCGTACGGGCTGCGGACCGTGGGCGTGTACCGCGTGCCCGGGAACGCGGGCGGCGTGGCGGCGCTGGCGGCGGCTCTGGACCGCGGCGCGGCGCCGGCCGCCGACGCGCGCTGGGCCGACGTGCACGTGGCCTCCAGCCTGCTCAAGGCCTACCTGCGCCGCCTGCCCGACCCGCTGCTCACGCACCGCCTCTACCCGGCCTTCATCGGTGCGTGCACAAACACTGCGCGCTGCACACTAGCGCCACCACTGCAACATTTTATATTCACTCTGTCGTAAAAATTACTTGACATAATTAGAGTCTAAGGCCATAAATTGACTACCGGGGGATTGCTGTTCATGTATTGTTATTTAAATAATAGTTTGAAGTAGAATTTGATATGTAAAAGTATTGCAATTTTGTGTATTAGATGTCTACGCATGTAAACTATTAGATAAGTGATCCGAGGGTGATGTGAATGCCAAGATAATGTGTTAGTTAGGCACCTTGATATACTGTCACCATCAACTGTCTATTAGCTCAATCTGCCGTCAATATCTCTCTAGTAAACTAACAGACTTCCCCATGTGTAACATATTGTGCCTCGTTGGTCTAGTCGTTGTAATAGTGCAACTGCTGATCATGAGGTTCTGGGTTCGAATCCCGGGTCGTGCCAAAAAAATAATTATTGAGTTTTTCCGTCGAGAAATTCTCAGTAGTTGCCCGGAGTCAGGAAGTTGGCGGTGTCTCATCCCCGTGCCTCGGAAAGCACGTAAAGCCATTGGTCCTGCGCCTGATCTCTCTCCGGTCGTGTCGGTTTACCGTCCCATCGGATTATGAGAGTGAAGGAATAGAGAGTGCACCTGTGCTGCGCATACACTTGAGCACTATAATCCTGTCCTGCGCCGATGGCTAGTCTCCGTTGAGGCAGGCCGCCGTGGCCGAAATTCGGTCTGGGGGACATTATAGTTTACTTTAAAGAATAATTCATTAATATTGGCAAAAGCACAATCGCACAAGTCCATCACTAAAGGCATTACCAAAAAAGGCAGAAAGTGTGCATATCTGGATTAATTTAAATGAATATAAACCAACTTCAATGTTCAACAGAGCTTGCTTAGTCATTCGTACATCAAAAGAGTACACTACAAAGTATACTCTTTTGATAAGAGAAACAAGTAAAAACATTTTATTAACTTCGGAGATATTTTGCAAAAAACAAATTTCGATTTAAATCTTTTTTTTTTTCTTCCAATTGTTATGAATAAGGTCGTTAATTTCGATCCGTTAATAAGATCGTTAAATCTGCAGCGACTGGTCGCTAATAAGTCATTCTAACTTTATATATTACGTGGTAGAGCCACGATAGAGCATTAATGAGTCGGTTCGAGCAGGGAAGATTCACACACAAACAGAATTATATACTGCAGTATTTCGTATAACCAGTGGCAAGAAATGGAAACCCTTTTACTGGTAACCAAGCATTCCAAGTTAGTGTTAACATTTAGAGAATAAAGTCTATCGGCCACAGTATTCACTTATGAGTCTTAATCATGACGTGAACATATGTTAGCATTATTACATATATATATATATATATATATATATATATATATATATATATATATATATATATATATATATATATATTTATGTAAATAAGCGTTTGTTACCCTTTTTTTTACCAGACAAAACTGTATCTGAAAACCTTGTTATACGATAATATTTTTAACTTGCAGCGGCTGACCGCTCGCCAGATAGAGCCCGCGAACTGCGGCGCCTGGTTCACGCCTTACCCGAGGCTCATTACGAAACACTTAAGTACCTGATCCAACATTTGCGCAAAGTGGTTGCGCACTCTGCCTTCAACAAGATGGAGGCGCGGAACCTAGCCATAGTGTTCGGGCCGACGCTGGTGAGAGCCGCTAGCGACGACATGCTGGCCATGGTCAACGATATGTCCAGCCAGTGCCGCATCATCGAATCTTTCCTCACGCACGTAAGTTTACATTTTATTTTAGATCTCTGTATATTTATGACGGAAGAACTTTTAGAAAGTTTAAAGTATCTATCTACCCCCTTTTGTAAATCTATGTCTGTCTAATGCTAGCCAAGAAAATACACGTCCAACCTATTTTAAACAAAGAAATATTCTTGGTAAAGATGTTATAATAGCTCTTCGCAATAAATCAGACAAGAAAAGTAGATTTATTAATTTAAAAAATATGTATGCTACTTACCGTTGTAGTAGATTACTTACAATTTGTAAAAATTACATTTCGATTGTGAATAAATAACAAAAACATAGGATATAAGTAAACGCTAAAAACTGAAATGAGTGGGTTAAAATTTAACTTTACTACTTAGTTTTAAAGTAGTTAGACAACTATAATAGTTAGTAGGAGCGAACGGCATTCATCAATTGATTTTAAAAAAAAAGAAACGTTCAAAAAAATTTTGCAAGTTTTAATAGTATAATTACGTTTTATTATTATTAACTACAGTCAGTTATTAGTTTATTTTCTGAACATAGGCTTCTCTATACAGTTTTCATAGAGGAATTTTGCAATATTTGTCTTGCTTAACAGGCCGGGTTGAGAACCGCAGATTTTTACATATTGATTCTGTGATTGGGAAGATGTTGCTGCACGTCACCCGTTTTAGTTTAATTTTTTCGCCATTTATGACACTCGCGGACACCGCCCATGTGAGGTGGTGGATATTCGTAGTTCACCGCTGAGAAGAAGGGGGAGGAGGACAAATTAGAAGATGGGCAGCAGCGTTTTTATAACAAATACAATATAAAAAATTGCGGTTGCCAAGCTGCCTGCTAAGCGTGGCAACTGTGGCCAAATCTCCTTTGTGTGACAGCCTTAGTGCAGGTCTATGTTTAGGATTTTAACAGGCCGTAATTCTAGAACGCCAGTAATGCACTTATAATTCAGAATATAAGAAGATGTTCATGGGCGGTGGTGATTATTTATCATCACATGAGGCGTATGCTCGTTTGGAGACAAACAAATTCCATAAAAAGTAGAGGTTTATTTAGTTTTGTATAATGATGTTACGTACTCGTAAGTAATACGTTGTGCTGTTGGTGTACAGTACGCGTGGTACTTCGAGGAGGACAGCGGCGAGCCGCCGGCCGAGGCGCCGGATGGCGACGCGCTACCCGGCGCGCCCGCGCCCTCGCGCGACTTACTCATCCACAACGTCAAGAAGATCGAAGGTGCGCCACCCGCCACGCACAGCACAACACGCTACGCACACTAAACACTACGCTACGCACGTCACACTGCGTACATATCCACACTTTACGCTACGCACATAACACGCTTCGCACACATCCACACTTTACGCTACGCACACAATATGCTTCGCACATGTCCACGCTTTACGCTACGCACATAAATCACTTTACGCTTAGCACATATCTCGCTTGAAATTACGTACATATCATACTTGATACTCTGCATATATTAAACTTTACTCTTTGCAAATATCACATTTTACGCTCCGCACATATCATACTTTACTCTCCCACATTAAACGATTCACACTTCGTATGTATCCTATATATATAACTATAAATCACACATTTGCACGCTTTACACTTCGTTCAATTCACATTAGCGCATCACTTACTTTATCTTCCCACTGTCTTCGTACATTACGTACTCCTCACACCGCATAATAAATGTATTAGTCCTTACTGTTGCAATTGTCATTACTTTGACCATGCATGTCACGTTAAATGTAAATTCAAGACACACCTGACATTCTGTAAACAACAGAGAAAATGTATTGTCATATATTCTTTTCTTCTTCTTCATTAAGAATATACATGTAACAGGTGCCTCAGGACCGTGCTTTGTGGCAATCCTTAGGGGAGCCCTATGTTCAGCAGTGGAGTTTTGATGGGCTGTGATGATGATGATGATTATTTGGTGTTATATAGTAACGGGATTAAGTTTTTCCTCAAATATTATCTCAACTACCTCGGAGTAATCGAGCGTTTACACTTTCAGGCAAAGACGTGTCGACGCGCGACATCGTGTCGTCGATAATATCGGCGGCGAACCGCAAGATCCAGCGCAAGCCGCGCGCGAAGGCGGCGGCGAGCGGCGACAAGAAGTGGGCGGAGGCGGACAAGTCGCCGCCCGCCTCGCCGCCGCACCACGCCACCGCGCTCGCCGACTACGACGGCCTGCCGCCGCGCTTCCACCGCTCCTCCGACAAGTCAGTACACGCACGCGAACGCGCACACGCACACGCACACGCACGCATACGACGTACACGTACTTACGTCATCTATTCACAGACAATTTCGAGTTCAAACAATATTTGAATTTACGCTTCGGGAAGTCTGCACTATGTCAACATGTTCAAAGAATTGTCTCAACAATTACATCCGATTGGATAGACCACAAATCCTCGCAAAACAACACCGATTCCAACCAAGAATGATTCGCGAGGCTATTGAAATTATAAAGACATCCTAATTTTAATAGAGAAGATGGCTGGGTGCTGCCATCTGCTTGAGATCCCATAATTTAACAAAATTAAATCCAAACCCAAGCATACAACTGCGAGACTTCAAGATAGTATTAATCGTGATGAAATTAGATATCGTTGCGCAGAAACAAGCAATCTTCAAAAGGCTGCTATTTCCGAGAACATTTCAAGTTTGGATTGATATTGGCTTGCTCTGGTTTCTTTTCCCCTTATCTCGCTTTTTATCTTGTGATTTTTGATGGAATTGTTTTGATACATAAAATTTCATCTAAACCTAAGGATTTTTTTGAAAACTATAAATCATTTTCGTTCAGTTTAAAAGCAGAAGAGTTATGCAACTTGAATATGTTTTATGTGAAATATTTGGGATAGCATGACTATTAATTAGCCACATCTGTGTACATCAGAGCGGCTGAATCGCTTTTCTATTTTCTAATATTTGACTTCTCTTGTTATAGAATCGAGATAGAAAGCATGACGGCAATGAGCCGCGGCCGGCAAGAGGTCTCTCGACACACACATACATTGAACAACTTCTCGATCGACGGTAAGTCTCGCGCACTATTTGCATATGTGGGGATAATGCTAGCTCGGTAGTTTCGTCAGTAAATAAATGTGTTGAAATTCATCACTGAGACGTATTATACAGTTTATTTTTATATGTTACGTGTTTACGTATTTTTATATGTATAGAATAAATTTGTCTACTATTTCTCCACTCCATTAGGTGTCCAGTACTGACGTCAGAGAGTAGACACAGCAATCTCTTTCTTTTGTCCTCATTAAAGGTATAGGATTGTGAGCGTGCGTGTTTAAAGTGTGTGCGTATAATCGAGCAAGGCCGTTAACACGGAATCGTTTTGTTCGTTTGTATTCTCTTCGCATATGACCCTGTTTTATTGGACGTCGTGGTGTACAAAGCATCCCACGACGGTTTAAGTTCGGGATCAAAGCTATAAGGGGATATAAATGCACAAAGCGTTTCATCGAACTAACGCTTAAGCAACGGCATCTAAAAGCACGGCTTACGCTCGTGCATCGTATAGATTAGGTGACGCCGACCATCTTTATGTACATAATCCACATCATTTATTAATCAATCATCAATTAAATCGTCACGCACGTAACGCCGCGAAGTCCCTAACATGCTTATCGTATTTATGTCGTCGATTTGTATAAAAATTTACTAATTTTAGCTTTTGCCATAGGAACCGGAGATCTGGTGTCATCTCTCACGAGCACTTTCGATCAGAAACTGCGCACTTTGAACAACTCGTCGCCGCTCGACGACGGCAGCATCCCGTACGCGGACGAGTGTCAAGACGAAGCGGAGGACAAGTCGAGCGGCAGCTCACCCTCGCTGGGCAGAGATTGCGTCGACCGCGAGGAGCGCGCGTCGCCCTCGGTGCGGGCCCACGAGCTGAAGGCGGCGTGGCTGGCGCGGGACGTGCGCCACTCCTCGTCGAGCAGCAACGAAGACGAGTCCCGCCACTGGCCGCGCCGCTCGCCCCCGGAGAAGCCGCTCGACAACGACGACTCCGAAAAGGAGAACTGCCTTCACACGCGTCGCCCGCTCGACGACGACAAGGACGTGGACACGCGCTCGCAGGCGTCCAGCAATGACGCCGCCCCGGACAACGACAAGCTGCCCTACTACAGCGGTCTCAGGCTCGCCAACCCGGAGACCGTGAAGCGGAACAGCGCCGCGCTGGAACACGAGCCCGAGGCGAACGAGCGCGGCGACGACGAGTGTGCCAAGCTGAAGCGCTCCGAGTCGCTGGGCCGCGAGGAGCGCGTGCTGCGCGCCGACGCGCTCAACTGGCGCGCCGAGCGCCTGCAGCGCTCCGAGTCGCTGAACAAGGGCGAGCGGCCGAGCAAGCTGGAGAAGGCCGAGTGGAACGTGGCACGGCGGCGCGAGGCGGGCGCCTGGCGCTCCACCAAGCTCAAGCGCAAGAACGGTATGCCCGAGCGCGGCATCAAGCGCCGCCACACCGTCGGCGGCACCAAGGACTTCGACAAGGATGGCTGGGGCGCGCGCCACACGCGCACGTCGTCGCCCGACCTCAGCGACCTGCTCGCGCCCGCGTCCGCGCCCGCGCCCGCGGCGCTCGTGCCGCCGCCGCGCCCGCCGCTCGAGTCGCACGTCTGACGTGCCCGCACGCTCTGAGCCGCGCCCGCGCCTGACCTCCGCCACATTTCGTGGCCCAACACTTAAGCGCTGCACACATGCGTGCTCTGAATGGTGCGTTCGTGACCGGAACACGAGAGAGACCAGTTGCATAACAATGTGTGAAACTTTAATGGGTGCATATGTACCGTTTGGTGCTGTTTTTTTATATACATTATTTCCGTGCTACGAGACGAACACAACCTGCAATTAGTTTAACCGACAATCGAATATATTATATAGTATATACATCAAAAATTATGTAAGTCTGATCTTATATCGAGTGAATACTGACAGCTCGAAACTTACATTCTGAGAGAGGCTATTTTATTTTGATTCAATTCAATTGACTGAATAGATTAATTCACAAGTATCTAAATATTATATATTGAAATAATTACATCGAGCAAAATACTCAAAATATATCTGTAGCTGGTCGAATTTGAATAGCCCACGCATTTAGATATACGTTTTCAATCGATTTCATACATTACATAAATCTAGCTATATAAAATTATCTATATAAAACCAAACAAGTGATTCATTAAAAAAATATCGAGCAGAGTGCAATACATTTAATGTAACGTTGACGAGAGTAAAATATATTTCTTTAATTAAAAGATTCATGAAGCGTTTTTAAATTGAACTTAGCTCACTAAATAATGCCAAAGAATGATAAAGAAACTGCCGAGTAGAGACGAGGAAGTTTGCGCGGAGCGTACGAGTGTGGAGGGAAGATTAGATGAAGGGAATGCGAGACTATGTACAACAAAATTGTACAGCCTGGAAACATGCACTTCAAAAGAGTATAATTCAAAGTACCATGCGTACAATTTTTAGTTCCACAAATCTACACGATCGATGTGTAGTACGACTCCCTTTGTAGGTTATTAAACTACTTTCTACGGAGTTGACGTGGAACTGTTTAAGTTATTAAGTGCAAAACGGCATAATATTATTAATTAAATAGTGCTACTAGTGTAGATAGTGCGAGAATGGAACTTTTATTGAATATAACGTCAGTGGACGTAGTTCCTTAGTGATATAAGTTACAAATGTACCCGATGCAGTCTGCACTTCCATGACCATTCTAATATATAACACCACTATAATTTAAGAATGTTATTTTGTAGGTTTATTCGATTAGCCGCTCTTGGAGGTTTTAAAAGGATGGTATTATAAAAAACTATAAGTAAGAAAATATTTACAAAATTTAATCCATGCATACTTCACTTAATTGCCTTTTTGATAGAGTTAACGAATGCACAATTAATGGCTTGTCTTATGAAACGAAGTTACCTTCTGCCGTTTCTTCTGGTACGGAAACTGTGAAAGTATGTATGAAAGGATGTACGTGGATATAGGAATTTTAATGTACATTATATTAAATCTTTGATTATGTAATATGTCGCAAGCGATGAATTTCATGTAAATAAATAATGCAATAATACTATTATAATGAAAAGAATATTATCCTGACATCTACACAGCTAGACGTAGCGATCGCGTCCAACGGCTGCGACGAACTAAAGTTAAACACGGTGATAAGACGCAAGTGATCCTATAGATTTGTATAAATTGTACATTACCTTTATCATTAATTTATATTAAATTTGTTATCGTAGCTTTGTTGAATGCAATTATTTTATATTGTTTTGTTTATCAAAGAAAAGTATTTTAGACTAAATTCAATTGTTATTTATTTGCGAAAGATGTAAAACGTGATTTGGCGCAGTTGTTTCTTTAAAATTGTAAACTGTCCTTTGTAAATATATCGTTTGCGAAATTATGTTTTAGACTTTCGTTAATTAACTTTTTTTTTAAATTTTATACCATCTTTACGTTAAGACGATCTCAAGTTTGTTGAATGTTTGCAAAGCGTTCCTTTTAAAGTTTTATTTGTAAATATATCGTTTAATGTAGGAACAGAGTGAATTTACTAATTTTACTTCATCTTATCGTACGTAGTCAGTAGACGAGGCGCAGTTGCGCTGCTGCTAGTTAAAATAAAATATAAAAGACATGTCTCTGACCGAGACAACTCGCTCGAGTGTCTGTTCAAAGAGATTTGTATTCAAATGTTTTATTTGTGCTCTTCGTGTAAACAGCTATGAAATTGAAATAGACATTTTGCGAATGTGGTTCGAATCAGATTTTTAACTTGTCATTGTGTATATTTTGGTGAAACGAAAATAAAATATTGAATCAATTTAACACACTTCTTTTATTTATCATCCCTCGCAAAAGGGCATACCTGATTCAAACGTAAATTGCATAAATTTATAAAGGCTAAGGCTAAGGATAGCAAAAAATAAATGTATACAGACCTAATTCATAGTGCCCAAGTTGCCCATTATAGTGTTCGATTCAATAAGAAAACTCATAAAAAGTTAAATATAGATACTAAAACTTTGTACGTTTATGAAGACGTACGTAGATTAATGGAAAATTCTTTATTGCACAATAATTATTTCTCTAAGAAAAAGAAGAGCAGCATAATGGCCAGCAAGACTGGTAGTGTAGTGCAGTGTAGTAAACATGAAACAAAAAACTTTAAATATATTACATTTATATAAAATAAAGATCACAATTCAATTACTTGTCATATAGAGCACTACGGGCCACCGGTGGACCGGAGGGAAGGAAAAATACGCAGGCGTTCCCCTCTGTCAAGGTACAAGTCCACGTGGTTCCTATGCGAAGTGCGTAGTACTTCCGATCAACAGTACCAACTAGATAACGGGTCACGTACAAAATCATAGCTAAATACTCCACGTGAATATAAACTTAAACAGCTACATTTGTTTACTAAGAAATAAGACAAAAAATTAAAATAGTTTTAAGTTCAACCTAATTACAACCATCGCATCTAGTAATAAAGTCACAAATCTTACGATCATTAGTCACAAAAAAAGAACAAGGCTATACAATACTCCTATCACTTGGAAATGAAAAGACATAAATTAAATAACCTTTGGTGTGAAATCAACCTTAAATTTTAAGTAGTAACAATAATAGTTGCTTTTCGTTCGTACTGTTTCCCCTTTATATTGCACCGCGGGGAGCGAGTCTTTAACACTAGTATAGCCTGAATCAACGTCCTACAAAAATGATGCATGAGCTCTTTTGCTGCAAGAAGATATCTGCCGTGTCAAATTTACAAAAAGATGTGTCTATTACAACACATAGATAATATAGGTATTAGGTACTATTTGGCCGAGAGCCACCCACATCACTGCTTGCCAATCCATTAAAGCATTCAGTGTAATACCAATGCCGAATCATTATGATACCAGTGAATTCAGTCATGCAATCGATGCATCTATGCCAACACAGTGGCAGTTTATTGATGCTCTTCTTTAAGAAATCACCAAATTCTTTCAGTTCTTCACAGTATAAATCCGCTGCAATGCTCATCCCGTTTAGGTAAGATCTTATCTCAAGAATCACACCGGCGCTAAATCACCAAACCTTGACCATCACTTTTCTAGGCCATTGTTTAGGTGCTGAACCAAGAAGCAACCAACTTGCTGAATGCTTGCGATTGTCAAACAGAATCAATTTTTCGTCGCAGGCAACTATGACTTTCAAAATTCCATCGTACCATCGTATGCCTATTGAGTAGTGCGAGGCATGTCTAGAATGTGTACTTCGCGCTGGCGATCACGAGTTTCTGAGACGCCCATTTGTCAAGCTTTTTTACCTTGCCAAATTGACGCAAATGGAACAATATTGTTTAAATGCTAACGTCGAAAGCTGCTGTTAATTCAGCCGTAGATTGAGCTCAGCTTCCTCAATCGCCATTAATTCGTTGTCGGACGACCACTGAGTTCATTTTTCAGGTCGAAATTTCCAGAACGGAAACAAGCAAACCAATAACAAGTGGTGGGTTCGTCCATAGTAGTCGCTACGTAAACGTCGTTGATGTTGCGTGCCGCTTGTGCTGCGTCACTGCCACGAAGGTACTCATATTCCATAATTACTCGAATTTTAACGTATCCATGATGTCGAAAAAGATTCAAATGTGATGAAAACATGCTAATCAATAAACAAATGACTAATTTAAAAAAAGAATTCCATGTCTTCAAAATAAAATTAATTTAAATTAGAATTCTTAGCCAAACAAAAATTATTTTTATTTGAAATGGCTAGTTTTGGAGAACGGCAATATCACAGGTAATAGTTAAAGACCTATTATATATAATTCTTAAATAAATACTGCGTATGTTAAGGACATCACAATAAAAGAGGCATTTCTAGACTAGATTTGTCTTAACCCCACATAACAAAAACATCTAATGTAATGTCAATCAGACATTAAAATTATACATTTCCATAGGCTATTTTATTACAATTGCCAATTTTTCTAAAAAGATATTCAACAATTTCGGCAATTGGTGAACATAAGTTGTTCTATTGTATCAGGTATCATTGTCATTTTTTAGTCTTTTCCAACCAATGACGATAGATAATGACGATCAAAACAGCGAATGAAAGAAGCCTAACCTCTATAAAATATTGTTCATTTTGAGAAAACATACATTAAACACTTTACAAATAAATAAAAGACCAAACGGTAATTAATATTTTATTCATTCATATATATATATACATAAACACATTTATTTGCAAACATAAAAATTCATTTTCTAGACGAAATAATTTAAAATCAGTTGTACCTACCATTGACTGTTAACAGCTAATTGAGACAAAAATATTTTTTAAACACTACAAGGCTTAACAACGTCTTTTTAAGTAGCACACATTTGAACTTTTCAGTCAGAACGAAGTATTATTTCTATTAATACATAAATATAATATCAACTATGTCTGGACTCCACTACAAGAAACTCCAGCTCTAACATCACATTGAACATCAATTTGAACTAATCAACAGTATATTCAAATGAACCATTTAACTAAGACCGCAGAAGCCTTCAATCAAAAGCCTTGAAATCTGCACTAATTGCATATTACATGTGTATTATTTAACTTTTTATAATTATTATTTCCTTAAATCAATGTCAAGTTGCTGTATACGTTTTACCTGTTATTGACTTTGAAGCGTTTCTAAGGTACGAAAAAATGTTAAAACGATGTGCTACCATACTAAAATAAAACAAAATAACCATTAGAAAGCCTCAAATAGCAGATATTAATACTTTTATATTTTGAGGATACATATTATGTCAACATTAAAATTTAAAAAATATAAATACATATAATTTTGTATAATAAATTAAAATATAGGATACACTGCTCCACAAGTTTTCCTCCATTTGACTGTGTATTACAATACCACTACACAGTCAAATGGAGGGCAGTAGGCGACACAGGGAAACGAACCAGGAAATAACCAGCCTATTCCTTAAAACAACTAATTAGACGACTGCGATCTCCAACCCAACTACCAAGTGTGGCAACTACGAACAAGAGAAATGTCTCCCTCATGGGGTAATCTATTGGAGACCAATATTTAGCTATAGGTTTTAATACATGTATGTAAGAATAAACTTATTCCATTATAACTCCAGCAGCTGTGTTCCAATTGTTGCAAGACACTCGTAATATGATGCTCAACGCTCATTGAATCTAGCGCTATTGGTATTAAAACAATTTTGTATAAAAATTAAGGTAACTAAGTGATTAACTTTTGTATGAGTACATATTAAGTTTAAGAAACATTCAATTAAAATCCTGTCAATGAAAAAGTTCGTGGATGCCCTCATTATCATGTAATTAACAATGGAAAAATCAGACGCCTTTTAACGTGCCCTCTACGAATATATATAGAGGAACGCAAAGTAATGCAAATCATTCGGATCTTATATCTTTGAATTTCAACTTATAATTATCAGAGATCGTTATCTTCAAGTCTTTGACATATATAATGCCCGAAACATTAATATAATATTCATCCGTAATTTATATACATACGCGCACACCATCTCAGACAAAACACAGAAAACAAATCTACTCATTGTTTTAAAACTAAATCTAAGTAATAATGACAATCATGACTCATAAACACTGAGGCAAGTCTCATCCTCTCTACAATATTTTAATAGCGAGTAAAGTAATTGACAGAAGTATAACAAATTCTCAATATGGAGAAGTTTGCAATATTTCCTATATTTGCATATAATATTTGATATTTCTGTGGCCGTTAAACATTTAAAACTCCAAAACTCAATCAAACCGATTGACTACGGTTTTCAATTTTGTTAGTGCTACTGTGGTACTAGTCGCGGTGGTCTTGAGAGGCAAGTTGAGCGAGTTACTTTTATTTTAAATTGAGTATTAAATAAAATAAAAGATTTAATGAGATACCGCTTTTCACATTCAACATATAGAAAAAGCTGTATATTATGCTATATAAATGGCAACAATGTTCATTAAATATTTCTGAAGGTATTTGAAATTAGAAATACGAGTACATTTGAAGAGCCTTCTTTTATAAAAACTAATGATAGTACTCGCGGCGGTAGTTTTGCGGACTGTTGCCATTGTCGCGGGACGGCTCACGCGAGTTGTGAGCGTAATACAGACTTTGCGATTGTGGATTCGACGCGTGGTTCCCGTCGCCTTGCACATAGTACAGATTCCGTATATTTGATCCGTCGCTCTGGTTGCCGGTATTTGGACGGTAGACACGTCGTGGACTGGACGTTTGATGAACGCTTCGCGATCGTTGCGCACTGGTCGCTTCCAATAACAAGTGGTGAGAATTGCGCGAGTCGCGCCAATCGTACGGACGTTGCGAGTCGTGAGTACGTGTGTTTTGGTAATCGCGAGCGTGCCGAGTGCGAAATGAGCTCTGAGTATACGTGTGACGAATGGTGTACGTGTCGCGTACGTATGTATCGCTGATGTCGTGTAAAACGTACGAGTCGCGCGTGACGTGCGTGTGGCGCGTGTCGCGCGTGTTTCTTGTGTCGCGAGGGCCGTGCGAGTAGTGCGCGTCGCTCGAGTCGCGCGTGTGTCGCACGCGGCGCGTGTCGCTCGTGGCGCTCGTGTGTGGCGTGTGACGTCAGTCCGCGACGGGCGGGTCGCGCGGCGCGGCTGGGCTCCACGGCTGAACGGGCGGCGCCTCGTCGCACTCCGCCGCGCCGCTGCTCTCTAGCGACAAGCTGTTCAGCAGCATGTCGAACAACGTATCCTGCAAATAGCCACGTATTCATAAATAATACTGATTGAAAGTCGTTCGTATATTTCTCTCTCTCTTCATGGTTTTTTTTCCTTATAAAATAACGGTGACAAACGAGTACACAATCCAACTGATGGAAAGTAGATACTATGGCCCATAAACACTTACACTTAAAAGAATATGTACTTTGTACTATAAACGATTAAGTATCAAAAGTATTCTAAGAGAGCGTGTTCCTTCCCCGATTGATTCGACCCATTCGTGCTACAGCTAAAATAAAACTGCAGTATGGCTCTACCACATAGAACACAATATTTATTATTAAATAAAAACCCACCCTTTTTTTTCTTGTTACCCAAAAAAAAAAAATTTTTTTCTCTTATTTAAAAAATAAAAAATAAATATTTTTAAAAAAATTTTTAAAATCTACAAAAAATATATTTTTTCTTTAATTTTTTTTTTTTTTTTTTTTTTTTTGGTAAAACCAAACTCCTTTCCCCCCCACCAAAAAACCCCCCCCACCCAAAAACTTTTACTCTTATCTTCTTTTTTTCTCCTTTGATCGAACCCTATGCCATGTCCAAATCTTTCTAAGAATTCCCTAAGTGATGCATTTATGCAAGAAAGAATCACATTATAACATATGGCTGCAGCAAGGTCGGTTCAAATGGTATACAATACCAGCATAAAACAGTAGTGAACTCTACTGTGTTTTGTACAGTGAGAGTGACTAAAACCGGAAATCCCATTACTAGTAACAAGACATTCTATTTTAATTACCAGAGGAGACAACGTATCTGTATTTTGAGGAAGGATAAACGAAGATGTCTATAGACCATAACATCCATATACTGTGAGATAAGTGCTCATCTGTCATGCATACTTCTACAAAATATCTATCTATACTCATTACACTAAGCAGGTATAGTGTGTTGTGTAGCATATTACAACAATAACATGTTACAATGGCAATAAAGCCAATAATAATGGTTACTCCGAACCACATGTTTTATACACAAGGATAAACTTTGCAATCAATCAGTGGTCAGAGCACGTTTGTACAAATAACTTCCGAAAGCAGTTGAAAAACAAAAAGGATATTGTGATTATATATCATAATTATTTTCGTCAAATTTTATCATTAGCGACATAGTGTGTTCAGCTAAATGTTCGTAAATTTCGCTTTTAATATATATGCAAAATTCTTAACAATATTAAACCCTCTCATTAGTCTCGGAAAGTTTAATGTCAAGTCAAAAATTTGTTTTAACAAACTACATTATTAAAGTCAAAAGTTTCTTCGCTTCAATTCTCAAACGCTTCAACAATTTACTTCTACGAGGAGACCTTGTGAGAAAAAGCGGTAAAACTCACAATTGATATAAACTCATTTAAATTTTTTCGTAAATTTTTAGCTTAAATTTTGTACATTTTTCGCTTGAATTGTATTTTAAAAAAGTACAATTATTAAAAACACAATTAGTAATACTACCATTTACCGTCACATTACAATTGCTAAAAAATAAGACCATTGTGAATTCAGGTTTGATAAATCATATACATATTAAGCCAACACCTGAATCATTATATAACTTCTGTAAATCGAGTCTCGTTGCACCTTTGGTCCCGTTTAATTAAATCTTTAGATTGATGTTGTAATTCTTGTTCTTAAACTTGTTGATTATCTCTAGTTACTAACAAATCCTCTTCTTCGTTGATATTTTAGTAATTTTAGAGCTAGAATTCTCAGAAAAAATAATGTTTTTCTTGAATTTGGATGAAAATCAAATTGTCGTGGATTTAAGTCACCTGTACTTTAAAATAATGTAAAGTTAGTGCACGCGTTTCGCTCTTGCGCTAACTTCACACGGTGCAAAAGTCGACTACTTAAGTCCCTTGCATCGTAATGTACTATTGTATGCGATTTGAATTTATACAAAGCCAAATCGGTAATTTTACATGGATTTTTTTTTATTATTATGAACTAGCTGTTCCCGTTGTGTGTAATTTAGGGTTTTAAACTTTTTTGCGCGGAACCATAATTCTTATTCCAAAATAATAGTAGCCTAAGTTATCCTTGTTACATCAGCTATCTGCCAGTAAAAGTCTCGTCACTCTCGGTCCAGTCGATTCGGAGATTAGTCGAAACAAACAGACAGACAGACAAAATTTTAAAAATTGTTTTTTATTTTATAATAATTTATGTACCAAATATACTTTCATATGAATTTAGTAAAAAGCTCCTATTTTGAGATTACAAACAGACGCTTCTATTTTATTTATTTGTATAGACAGTTATTATTACACATCTATCCAAAAATGAGCCGCCAGTTTTAAGAAAGCCTGTACTTTGGTACATCAAGGTAAGATTTATGACGTGTGGTCAATTTCTTCAGTCTCCTACAGAAATATTATTATTAAAAAGTAGCCATCTTAAATTAATGGAGTAACACTTTCAAAAACGTGATAATGGAAATGGTGGAATGTGCACAGCTCACGTTGTAATTGAGTATTGCGTCGACGTCGTCCGCGTCGCTGATGGAAGAGACGGAGGGCCAGCAGTCGTGCAGCGCGTCGGGCGACGCGGCCGCGCGCTCCGGCGTGCCCGGCGTCGCCCCCGCCGCGCCCGCAGCGCTACCTGCGTCACGCACGCACTCTGCTGTACTGTACTGTACTATACTGTACTCATGAACATACACGCACACAACCGGCACCGCCCAACCTGCTCGCTGCACTCTACTGTACTGTACTTCTTACACGCACACAACCAGCACCTCACAAACACATTTCATAGATGGGTACATTTTTGTTACACATGTTTCATTTTGAGATTAGTTCAAAATGTTATAAGTTTTTACTACTCCTTTATTAAAATAATTTATTAAGTCTCTATTTATATTGAATAAAAAAATTATAAACTGCGGTTGTCAACTCGCTTGCAAAGCGTGGTTGACTATGGCAAATATTCCTCCTACAAGGTAGGGCTATGTTCAGAAGTGCACTTTTGATAGACAATAACGGTAATTGTAATGGCAGACCTACAATACACAATAAATGGTATGTTCCGAAATACAACCCAGTACACTGGCAAATGCAAATGACGTCATCAATTGACACTATATTGTACTGGCGTGCCGCCGCCATATTGCGTCGGATATCCGGCCACAATAAAACAATTTTTAATTGTGTGTGCGCTGAATGAAGCACGCCAGAATTTGTTTTTATTTATTCAAATACAAAAAATTATAGAATAATTGCTGGTATCTCCAAGAAATGATTTTTGGAGCACAAAATGACAAAATAATCGCCAACACTTTTCCAATATGGCGTAAATATATGACGTCATATACTGTCCTATGTTTTGGAACGAATCACCAGTATAGCGTCGATTCATGACGTCATTTGCATTGGGCAGTACATTGGGTTCTATTTTGGAACATACCCATAGTTTGGCAGCACTTACCGTTAGGCAAAGCAGCGTGTGTTCGACGCAGCTGTCCCGGAGATGAAGGCGACACCCGCGGCGGCTTAGTCCTCGGACGTGCACTTGCCCCCGCACCCGTGCCCGTGGCCGTGCCCGTGCTCATTCCCGCGCCCATGCCCAAAGCCGTGCCCGTGCTCACACACTGGCTAGTCGCAGGCCCGAGCGCACTCCGCCGCTGGGCCCGCGCACCACTTACACTGCGCCCCGCCTCATGTGATTGAATGCTCGTGGCCCAGTTACGTTTTGGTCCTGAAATACAAACATTGATACTCCAGAACGGCAGAAAGCGTCCACTCTATACGAAACTCATTATTTAGTTTGATTTATAATTTCATCTTTTGAAACTTCTCATCTTCGCTATACGATATTGTTTGCAATGATTTGCCATGAATAGTGTTTAATATTTATTCCATATATTTTGAAATCATAATAGATTAAAAAAATGACATTCAATTAACAAAACTTAAATGTCAAGTCAACTAACCGTGCTTGGAATGTTTGGGGGTGAGTCCATTAATTCGCATAAGGTTGAGCAGCAGCATATCAGTGTGTGCGGCAGTGGACAACTGCGGGTCGCCATTGATAGCGGAAGCGGAAGCGGAGGCGGAGGCGGACACCGGTGGGTTGCAACCATCGCTGCCAGCTGGAGTCACGGAACGTCCGTGTACAGCGCACAGCAACCGACTGAGTGCGTCCGCACCCCATCCGGCCGACGCTCCACATGCACCCTCCACGTCGTTCTCACCTACGAGCGTCACTCATCATTATTTGCGTTATACTGACAGAATGAGGATATCCATGACTTTTTTGCCAACGGGGCGGCGCCACTTATGGATGAATTATAATGTTTTTGTATGAAATATTAGCTATATTTTATATTAACTAAATTAAAATGTATAAACCAAACTGCGGATATTCCTTAAAGTAAAAGATTTAAAAAAACACTTCAAAATGTGCAAAATAATTAACCACTGAGGCGTTGTTTTGTGTATTTAGGTATATACACTTAAAACCGCAAAACTTTTATTCAAAACGCTACTTTTTACAAAGGCTGACACTGTGCAACAAATAAACTTCACCTCAGTCCCTAGCGACATCTGCAACGCACAATTCACCTGATGGAGTGACAAAGTGGTTGTGACCCGTAGGCATCTACAGCTATACACGAAATCAAAATGCAAACTTGTTGTCACCTCTGATCACCCAGACGGAATACCTCTCGTTCCTTTTCACTCCATACGATACATCAGAATTATTAGGTATGGAAATTAAGGGTATAACTATTACGTCGGCAAATTATTTTTTGTCATTGATATACCAGTCAGAGATATTTTACGTGTAACGGTTATTGTATTTGTTTCCACCTGTTATATTTCGCTGTGACAGTGACTCGATTTAAAGGTCAATTCAACTTACTATAATTAATTTATTGAAGATTAGGCTTTTCAATGAACTTTCCTTCATACTTCGACAGACTTGTAGCTATTAATGTCTCATCGTATCTTCTCTTCTTATCTTAGAAGTGCGTTAGATATTTAGAAGTTCATTCAATCAAGTTCAACTCAATCAATCACTAATTTTATTAATGAATCAATATTATACAATTTTTGTCGGTTTTATGTTATTGTCTTTTAGTTTCTGGTATATTGTTTTTAAGTAAAATGTATGTACATGTGGCCTGCCGCCAACCGAACACCGAAGCCTAAATCACGCTAATCACGTATATATAGAACATCTCCGAACTATCACAGGGAGTGTTGGCCGCTCCCCGGGCAAAACACCTTGCCCGGCGGGAGATCTCCTTTTTCCTTCCACGGCCACCCACATATCTAACACCACCAAAACTTCGAAAACTTCAAGCTTCATCATCGTCATAGAATATCCCACCCATTCGCTCCCGAGCAGATATCGTCTGCAGTCTTCATATCCTGCAAGCCAGCTAGCTTCACAAGGTTCATCGCAGCACTGGAATAATAATGCTTCCTGTTCCTTCAAGCTACTCTATGCGCTATACAGTGTTCGGCACGGCTCTGAGCCTTACTGCTCGCCTCTGCTTCACGGCACTCTCGCAGATTACTTGCCTTCTTCTCGACTCACCGCAGACTACAAGGCAATCCACTCGCACTTGCACATTTGTCGGCAACGAGGCTGCACTATCGACCTCCGGTCTGAGCAGACGGGGGTTGATGTGGCGGCGCTGTCGTCGCGCCGCAAGCGAAATACACCGAAGCCTAAATCACGCTATCAAAATTCCGAATCATAAACAGTATATATCTCCCTGGGCAGAACACCTTGCCCGGCAGGATATCTCCCCTTTTCCCACGGCCACATACATTATATTATATTTTTTATTTTATGTAGATTATTATATAGCTAATAAATAGTATAACGCCAATACGAGTCACAGTTTAGGGACTCTATCTCACTCTACCTTTAAGCTCAAAGATACCTATTCACAAATGATATAAATAATATTATTAATTAGGCGTAGAGAAGTGACGACCCCATCGGCCGCTGACGTAACAGTTATGTGACAAAATTGCTACGTCGGCGCAGTCAGTCAGCGCCCTGCCAAGAGGTGTTAGCGCCGTGCCTAGGCAAAATTGTGGGTGCAAAGGTCCGTTTGTGCATATGACCGAACCACGAAACGGTGCCTAATAGTCTCCCGTTAATTGGCGCCCATAAAATGGATGATGGCACAAATAGGAACACGCCTAGGGCCACTGCCTAGCGGTCTCCGGGTCGCGTCTGGAGCTTGCGCTGGACACGGCAGCATACAGGCTGCCAGCCAAGCGCACGGAGCTGCACGATCACCTAGCAGCCCCCTGCATCCATCATCCCCACCAGAAGGCTTGATGTCGGCTGGGTCTTCTCGGACTCAATAAGCGGCACCCGCCGCTGGTGGAGCACGTCGCATGCGTTGGACAAAAACTATGAACGAAAACGAATTGCGGGCGTACTATAGGGCGAAAGGGGAAGAAACTGCGGGGATAGCGTAAAGGGCTCGGATGTATTGCTTTTTTGCTGAGCTGGAGCCGTCTACTCCCGTCACAGAACAAAACCTGACAGACCGAGTTTGGTCCATCATGCGCTCGAAAATACTTGATGATGCCAAACTCGAACAATTAAGACGTAAGGCTATTCCCTCATTGAATAAATCGGCTATGACTAGGAATGGCTAGGGAGGGCTCCTTAGGCGACAGACCAGCATCCACACGTGGAAGCTGTCACGGATCTTCCATTTGTGGTTGATCCGGACGATGATGAAATAGTCTCCCACGAACTAGAGCAAATGAGGAGCATATTGGAAGAGGCAATTTTGGAAACACGCAGTATGCCTCTCGAAAATCGACTTCCCACATACCCCTAAGCAAGCGAAATGGGGCTGTCGTGAGGACTCTTAACCCAATGCTGGTGACCTATTTGGAAGCCAGCCGGGATCTTTGCAAGACGGACATAATTCTTTTTGACGCCGCAGTGGCAGTTTGCCGTATTATTGGCGCCAAAGTTTCCATGGCCGGCCGCGCTACTAGAGAAAGTAGCCTGAAGAAAAAGAATCGAAGACCGTATCGCAAAGGCAACGGCAGACTGACAAGCTTCACGTCGGGTAATAATAGATCCGAGGGTTGTGCGTACCGTTAGAATGGCGTTTTCTGGGAAAAATATCAGTTTGTCCCCGCCGGATATCACGCAGAAACTAACGGAGCGCATAGATGACCTGAAGCAAAAAATGCGAGTGTGCTAGTGTCTATGGACGTCTATGGACCCCGTCACCATAACCCCGGAAAACGTGGCTGAGGCGATTCGTAGGGCCCCGAACTTGAAAAGTCCGGGGCTCGACGGGCTCCATCATTACTGAGTGAAGGGGTTCATAGTGTGTCACGCTGTGCTCACCCGACAGTTTCAAGAGACTCTCGACCAGAAGTCGCTCCCGAGCCTCTTCACTACTGGGATCACTCACTTGGTTCGTAAAGATCCGGATACCACAGACCCGAGTAACTACCGCCCCATCACGTGGTCTACCCACCATATGTAAGACACTGACATCCATTTTGAGCGCGAGAATTACTCGTCACCTGTAACTAAATCAGGTGATGCCACGCGCTCAAAGTGGATGTCGGGGCGGTGGTCGTGATACCTAGGAACCACTCCTCAATAACGCGGCCATTGGCAAAGCGGTGAAACTCAACCGTCGGAACTTCTCCGCCGCCTGGATAAACTACAGAAAGGCATTCGACTCGGTGCCCGGTAATACATGGTTAAAGAGGGTCCTCGAGCTGTACAAGATTGACTGTACAGTTAGAATTTCCTCGAATGATGAGCATGGAAATTTGTCACCTGGGCAAGTGGATGCCGGCTGCGGAAAGCCGCATAACGATAAGAAGGGGTATTTTCCAGGGCGCCTGTCTGAGTCCAATCTGGTTCTCCTTCTCTTTAAACCCTCTCAGGACTTTACTGGAGGGCTCCGGGAGGGGATTTCAGATTCGGAAAGAAGGTACAAAAGTGACCCACCTTTTCTATATGGATGACCTCAAGTTATTTGCCTCCAATCGCTCTTGTGGAATTGCTAAGCATCACTTGTGAATTTAGCAATTCTATTGGATTGGAGCTGGGAACGGATAAGTGTGCGGTCCTCCATGTTGAAAGGGGAAGGGTTGCTAACTCTGAGGACTTATCTATGCCCATCAACCTAAGGACCCTTTCCGAGGCTGAAACATACCGATAACTGGGTATATCACAGAACATCGGTATCGATGAGGCTGGTATGAAACAGTTTGCGACGTGTTTTGTGCACGCTTGACCAAAGTGCTTAACAGCCATTTGTCCGGTGTGAATAAGACACACGCATATAACGGCTGGGTCATGCCTGTCCTCATATTTACCTTTGGCGTACTCAGGTGGACTCAGACTGAACTTAACGCCCTGGATAGAAAAGTCCGCACCACCATGACGCCCCATAGGATGCATCATCCGAGATCGTCGGTAATGAGGCTGTACTTGCCGCGAAAGCAAGGTGGTCGTGGCTTTCTGAGCGCGCTCACCATGTATAATCGCGAAGTGTGCTCTCGTCATTACTTTTTGGCGAGATCAGATGATCCATTCTATGATGACGTTATTTCTAGTGATAAAGGGCTTACCCCTCTATCCTTAGCCAACGAGCAACGGCAGGACTCTGCAGTACATAGCATTTCCGACCGGGTCACTGTATCGAAGGAGAAGGAGCTCCACGGGAGGTACTACAGGGTTCTACATGCTGCATGAGTCCTTCGTAGATACAGTCGCCTCCCTCAACTGGCTATGTTTCGGTGACCTCTTCGGGAAAACCGAGGGTTTTGTCTGTGCAATACAGGATCAAGTTATTAAGACCAACAACTATCGGAGATACATCCTAAAGCATGGCACCGCCGACGCCTGTCGAGCTTGTCGCACACCCGGTGAGTCAGGCATGTCATCTCCGGTTGTTCGGCGCTTTCTAACTCCGAGTACTTGCATAGGCACAACCTAGTTGCCAGAATTCGACATCAGGAGCTCGCTCTGAAATACGGTCTCGTCTAAGGAAAATTGCCGTATTACGGCAGCGGAAGCAGTGCTCGAAAATGACCGCGCCAGGCTCTACTGGGACCGGACCATCATCACAGACAGGACTATTCTTACTAATAAGCCTGATATTGTACTGATGGACCGGGCCCAGTCAAGGATATTTTTGGTCGACATTACCATTCCGTATAACAAGAACCTCGTGAA